AGGCCTAGTAATTGATGTTATAAATACACACGTCTGATTTTTGTTTTAATTATCCATCGTACATTAAAAAAAAAACATTTGCAATCAAGACTGAAAAAAGCCAGAAGTGAATGTAAACCAGATTTGGCCCAGACTCTGTTGCTATCTGTGAAGCCAAGCATAAGAATAGCCTACTAATGTAAATTTGTTAATCCACAGTAACAACTTTTAACAGATTAGTCGCATATTTTCGTTTGCTGCATGCTTTTAAAAACACAATAACATTTTTTTTTTTTGAGGAAAATAAAAAAAAGATACGTCTCGTATAAGTTGCATTTTCAGAAATAATAACAGCAGGCCTAATAATGTTATAATGTACCAACACTATAGGATATTTTAGTTCCCCTCACTTTACAACAAATCCTTTCAATTTAACCGTATCAGAACAGAATAAGAATTTAAAAATATATAATTCTAATGGATAAATATAATTGCAGTATATAATAATATATGCTTAGCAATAAACATGCCAAAACAAATTAATTTATAAAGAAACGTAAGGTAAAGTTGGGCTTACCTCTCTCAGGCACAAATCCAAATGTGTCTATATTCGCGATGTAGCTGCAGCTAAACTATTAGCCTTATTAGGTCAAATAGGCTTTGTAGTTCACTCGCGTTCCAGTATCGACGGAAAAATATCATAATGAGCAAAAGTATGCCACAGTGGAGCGGGTCTCACGCCGAACAGCACGGTGAACGGCTGCTGTTTCCAATGAATGCAGTAACTTATATAGTGTGCGCGTGAGGCGCCGGCGCGATCAAACAGCTGAAACATCAAATAGACTACTCCCTCATTTTTGGTCATACAGTAAAGGCGTAATTCGAAACCGCAAAGTGTTAGCAGTTTGAAAATTAAAGAATATTTAGTAAAGTTAATAAGAATTCTTTCTAAATGCAGCACCGTTCTTATTTCGCTCTGCATAACCTGAACGAAATGAAATGAAAAAAACGCTACACGCTTTTAATCTGTGTATTTAACAGCCTGGGACACCTTCCGAGGAAAGTACCTTGCCTCACCAACTTAAATCAGGGCGCCCACTACGGAGACGGCACCAGAGGTGAGGGGGCACAGTGACCGAGGTGGCCGGGGCACAGTGACCGAGGTGGCCGGGCCCCCTCAGCCCCCCCCCCCGTGACGCCGACGCTGCTGTTATGTGTTTTCCCTAGTTTTTTACTACATTTCCCATAATCCTTTCAAACTACACTTCCTATGATAACCGGAAGCCTCCGTACAACGGGAAACGAAGAGGTAAGGGACAAATCTGTTATAAGAGACCGTTCAGAGTTTTTATCAAATTAACATGCTGCAGGTGTGGTGTCGGGTCATATAATAGTCGGCACCGCACCATCCTTTCAGCTCCTTTGCGAAGCCTGCATTGAATTGTGAGCGGTTCACAAAACAGTCTGCTATGAAATGTGCAGAACAAACCAGCAGGTTCAGACTGTAACGTTTAGGCTTAAAAAAAAAAAACACACACACACACACACACTTTAGCCAAAGTGTTACTCATTGATTACTCGTTTCTAATATTGGGATATATATATATATATATATATATATATATATATATAATTTGGCTATAACTAACTAACTTCTATAACACCATCAAGTTTCTATAAATTAGTTTAATGTATTATGAACAAACACAAATTAACAATGAACAGTATAATGTATTAACTAATGTTAACAAATTCAATTTTATTTTTAAGTTTTATCAAGACATTTTGTGGTTGACAGTCCTTGTCAAAATAATAATACAAAAAAATACTTGTATTGAGATACTTCAGATCTTAAAAGTATGTTTTTAAGAACTGTACTTACAGATAATAAATTAATGAACTAAAATGTCACTTAAGTGAAGAAAGTACACAGTCGTTTCTGTTTCTTTGGAAAAATTATACTTTGATGTACATTTAAAAAAACGATATTTCAAGAAGAATATGCTTATTTTGATGTGTTGACTAACCTACTAAAGCACTTGATTATAAATGTAATACTATAGTGTGTTATTCGATATTACATACATGGCAACGTCATACAAATGTGTAGTTACAAGTACATTTAAAAACATGACATGCAAGTTTCAGTAGAAATGGCATTAAAGCATATTTTAGTTGACGTTAAGTGCTTGTCAGTACACTTTAAACATACTTCAAAGACAACAGAAGTATTTATTAAATTGCTCACACAAATGCATCTTACCTAAATAAATGTAAAATGTTTACACAAATATGTATATATCAAGTTCTTGAATTAATTTCCATCACACATTTATAAATGATGTTACATGTATTTATGGATCGTTGAATCTGCATTTCGTTGAATCGTCACACGTACGTGGACTGCTTTGAATTTGTGTGCGGTGTTTTAGAGACCTTCCTGTCAGGTTAAAATTCATAAATATCTTTTTTGGAGGATGTTCCGTTCAGCCAGTTGCTGTGAGCTTTTAAATCCACCAATCAAAACGCTCCTTACTGAACAGACTCAAGAAGCTCAACGCTGCGCTTGTACTGTGCATTGTTCCATGATCGGGTCCTTGATGTAAAGACATTTTAATGGGTATTCTTTTTTTAGCACCTGATTTATTTCATTGGCACAAAATACAACTACCCGGTTAGCCTGCTGTCTTATACACCAAAGTTGCACATACCCTGTTTATTCAGATCAATCTGTAATATTTTTTTAATAATTAATAATAATTATCAAATAAGTGTTAAATGTCCAGATATTTCATTTAATAACAACAATTATGTAATGTGTTCTGTTGTTGTTATTAGTAGTAGTATTATCAGGGTCGCAGTAACTTTTAATCAGGCATTAAAAACCGCTACCACCACTTAAGGGAGATTTCGAACACACAGCGGAGAGATTTCAGCATGGAGGATGAAAACCAGACTCGGTGAGGAAGTAAAGTCGTTTTTTTTATCTGATGGCATTTTCTTATGATTAAAGGTTATTTTAGTTAATTAAGTGTGCAATTTGCAGTGTTACAAAGTTAGTCCACGCTAGCTTTCTTATATTATAACTGGTGTTTGTAGGAACACTTTAGTAATCACAGGATAAATGGGCGATAAACAATCAATAAAACAACAATTTCTATAATAAACTATCGAGTAATTTTAAATACGGTTTGTAGTCGGTGGATTCTAAAGTTACCATCGCGACCAGCTATAAACATAAAAAAATGTCTGGTTTTCATCCTCCATGCTGAAATCTCTCCACTGTGTGTGTTCGAAATCTCCCTTAAGTGGTGGTAGCTGTTTTTAATGCCTGATCAAAAGTTACTGCGAACCTGATACTGCTACTACTAACAACAACAACAGAACACATTACATAATTGTTGTTATTAAATGAAACATTTTCTTATGATTAAAGGTTATTTTAGTTAATTAAGTGTGCAATTTGCAGTGTTACAAAGTTAGTCCACGCTAGCTTTCTTATATTATAACTGGTGTTTGTAGGAACACTTTAGTAATCACAGGATAAATGGGCGATAAACAATCAATAAAACAACAATTTCTATAATAAACTATCGAGTAATTTTAAATACGGTTTGTAGTCGGTGGGTTCTAAAGTTACCATCGCGACCAGCTATAAACATAAAAAAATGTCTGCTTTTCATCCTCCATGCTGAAATCTCTCCGCTGTGTGTGTTCGAAATCTCCCTTAAGTGGTGGTACCCATTAAAAAGAGTACCCATTAAAATGTCTTTACATCAAGGACCCGATCACAGAACAATGCACAGTACAAGCACAGCGTTGAGCTTCTTGAGTCTGTTCAGTAAGGAGCGTTTTGATTGGTGGATTAAAAGCTCACAGCGATTGGCTGAATGGAATACCTTTCAAAAATATAGATTTATGAATCTTAACCTGACAGGAAGGTCACAAAAATACTGCACACAAATTCTAAGCAGTCCACGCACATGTGATGATTTGCAAATGCAGATTCAACGATCCATAAATGCATGTAACATCATTTATAAATGTGTGATGGAAATTAATTCAAAAACTTGATATATACATATTTGTGTAAACATTTTACATTTATTTAGGTAAGATGCATTTGTGTGAACATTTGGGGAAATATTTGTGCTTTTACTTGTGTATTTATGAATTGTGTTTTTGTAAATGTCAATTGTGCTGTGCATTTATGAATTTTGTTTTTTAAATGTATTATTTTTGAGGCTGATCTGGCTCCATACTGAACCGTCTTAAATTACTGAGATTTGCTGTTTGCATAGCAGTGAGATGCCTAACTTGTCTATTGATTTAAACTACAGCTCCCATGATCCTTTCAGTCAAAGCATCCTTCCTGCTGAAACAGGAAGTGTGGTCATAGTGTAAACATGAAGCGATAAGGGAGGATTGAAAGGTGTTTTTTATGTTTTAATGTTTGATTTGGATCTGAAACTACTTGCATATTAAACTATGACCGCATTCTGGCATGGAAAGTCTTATTCCTTCAGTGGCATATGATAAGAGCCGATGTCTTTAGTGTTGATAAAGCTAGTCACATCACTAGCTGATTGATAGACTTGATATGCGCAATGTGTACGGTTGTTTACCGTATCTACTTTATACATGTACGTAATGATTAAATGATAAATTGCTTGTTTAGTGGAAAAAAACATTTGTATTTGATTTTTATATATATATATATGTGTGTGTGTGTGTGTGTGTGTTGTTTTTTTATTGATTGCTTTGATAAGATTAATGTAGAGACTGTAAAATATATGTAGGATTTACAGCAAATAAAACAAACACTTCACTTCACAAATTTCTTTTACCTTATAACATAAGAAACTGAATTTTTAAAATGGAATAAAGCAGTTCGACATGTTAATTTTCAGCTGATTGAAATGAAATGCCAAAAATGTATTGTATCACTTAAATTGTATTTACAAATCATGATAGTGTCATGGATTTACTGTCTTTAATTTATGCTGGATGAAGAAAAAAAAACAATAACAACTAAAATTTACAAAAATCTGAAAGCATTTGGGGTGGGGAGAATTTAAAGTTAATTGTATTTGAGATGAAAACGTGAAAAGCAGTTGACAGAAATGTGTTTTGTTTTTTTCAGTATTACTCGTCATGCCTGTGATGATGTGCCCATTCCTGAAGAACAGGAGACAGAGGGCCAAAGACAACTACACAATCTGCTGCTGCAGCAACTAGATACAGATGTAAACATTGACCGGTAAGTTAACTATTACTAAGAATTTGAATAGATTTTCAATTAATTTTTAATCTGGCACACATGTATTATTGTACTGAATTATGTTTTTTTAGAACAGGGGTGTCCAAATTCGGTCCTGGAGGGCCGGTGTCCTGAAGAGTTTAGCGCCAACCCCAATTAAACAGACCTGAACCAGCTAATCAAGCTCTTATAGGCATACTAGAAACTTAAAGGCAGGTGTGTTGAGGCAAGTTGGAGCTAAACTCTGCAGGACACTGGCCCTCCAGGACCGAGTTTGGGCAGCCCTGTTTTAGAACATAAATTGGTCAATTTATTTATTAGTTTATTTGAGACAGAATACCAACCAAAAAATCCAGAAAAAACACATTATATAAAGGTTAGAAATTGATTTGCATTTCAGTGAGTGAAATAAGTATTTGATCCCCTACCAACCAGCAAGAATTCTGGCTCCCACAGATTGGTTATGTGCCCATGTGGAACACAGATTAGTCCTGTCACTTTAAGAAGTTACTCCTAATGTCAGCTCATTAGGTGTATAAGACACCTGTCCATACAATTTCTATCTTCCATTCCAACCTCTCCCACCACCATGGGCAAGACCAAAGAGCTGTCAAAGGATGTCTGAGACAAGATTGTAGATCTGCACAAGGCTTGAATGGGCTACAAGACCATCAGCAAGAAGCTTGGTGAGAAGGAGACAACTGTTGGTGCGATGATACGGAAATGGAAGAAATACAAAACAACCACCAATTGTCCTTGGTCTGGAGCTCCGTGCAAGATCTCGCCTCATGGGGTAAGGGTGATCATGAGAAAGGTGAGGGATCAGCCCCGAACTACACGGGAGTAGCTTGTTAATGATCTTAAGGCAGTTGGGACCACAGTCACCAAGCAAAACATTGGTAACACACTACGCCACAATGGACTGAAATCCTGCAGCGCCCGCAAGGTCCCCCTGCTCAAGAAGGCACATGTACAGGCCCGTTTAAAGTTTGCCAAAAACAAGGGTTTCTGCACCAAGTACTAAGTCATGTTTTGCTTGGGGATCAAATACTTATTTCACTCACTGAAATGCAAATCAATTTCTAACCTTTATATAATGTGTTTTTTCTGAATTTTTTGGTTGGTTTTCTGTCTCTATACATTAAAATAAACCTACCATAAAAATGACAGACCCTTCATTTCTTTGTAAGTTGGCAAACTTACAAAATCAGCAGGGGATCAAATAAATATTTTCCCCACTGTACCTCCATTACACATTTTCATATTCATTTGTTATAGGTGTGTTGCAAAGAATAAATGCTTTGCTCCAGCAGCAGTACACAAGCCTTTTGGGGAACAGGCAGCTGGTGTAAGGAGTCTGTCCCAGTTCCAGTCTTTGCAGGATGGGGATCAGGAACTGGCCGCTTTGAGAGAGCTGGGTCTTACAGATGCTGAGATAGAGCTATGGAGATGCAGGGATCAAACAGAAAGCTCTTGGAAGGTCTGATCTTAATTATCTTCATTTTGATCTTAAGTTCAGCATGACATGTTCTAAATGGTGAGATTCTGAATTGTAAGGAATGTGAGAAATCTAAAGGGGGAGAATGTCAGCTCTAAGTCACTCAATGCAGTTCATAATTTTCTCAGGGCAGAGGGGTTTGTGTGGCACCTGAGGTGAGGAATGGGCGTCTGCAGGCCATCCGGGATAAAATGGCAGCACATGCAGAGCTGCTGTCCAGACCACAGCGTTTCTCAAACAGTCGGCCACTTTCCCATAGGGAGATTGAAATCAAAAAGGCTCTTTTTCAAGGCAGTGACCGCTGCAGCTTCCTCACTGCCCTTTACCATAGAGGTTAAGAGAATACAGTAATACTAAGTAGTTTTACCTTTAGGCAGTTTTCGGTCCTGTTTGAAACCTTGCTCTTTTCTATCCACAGAGGAAGAGTCACCCGTCAGCCAGCAGGGGGCGACATCCACCAGCGCAATGGACCATTTCTAAAAAGTCTTTCTTGAAGACCACAAAAAAATGTTGCTGATATTTCAGAGCGTTTACCAACAATTGTCACTGATATCCAGTGTAAATCACCAAGCCCTAAATCAGACCAATCACAAACTCACACAGTCCATGATTCCAGCCCAAACAAAGACCAACTCCATATGCACAGAACCAAGCCCTGTGTCTGACACTGTCAACCAACCTCAGTCTCAAGAAAAATGCGTTATACCTATAACCTGTTACTGTAAGTGGAAGGATAGAGGAAACTACGGAATATTCCACGAATTAAGAACTACCAGAGAGGAGTGCCATCTAATGTAATAACAGCAACATAACTGCTTTAGAAATGTTACAAAATGTCTATGAAAGAAATAACGCATTAGTATGATACCTGTATAATATAATATGTGACCCTGGAGCACAAAAGCAGTCATAAGTCGCTGGGGTATATTTGTAGCAATAGCCAACAATACATTATATGGGTCAAAATTATCAATTTTTCTTTTATGGCAAAAATCATTAGGATATTAAGTAAAGATCATGTTCCATGAAGATATTTTGTAAATTTCCTACCATAAATATATAAAAACTTCATTACTGATTAATAATATGCATTGCTAAGAACTTCATTTGGACAACTTTAAAGGCGATTTTTTTGCACCCTCAGATTCCAGATTTTCAAATAGTTGTATTTCGGCCAAATATTGTCCTATCCTAATAAACCACACATCAACGGAAAGTTCATTTATTCAGCTTTCAGATTATATATAAATTGAATATACATTTTTTGTGGTCCAGGGTCACATAAGTAGAAGTTGGTTTGTATCATATCATGTTATGTCATATTATATATAGTACTCTTCAAATGTTTGGGGTCGATAAGATTTTTAAAATACATTTCTCATTGCCATCAAAGCTATTTTTTATCAAAAATACAGGTACATGGTAATATTGTGAAATATTACAATCCTGTGATGGCAAAGCTGAATTGTCAGCATCATTACTCCAGTCTTCAGGGTCACATGATCAGTCTAATATGCTGATTTGGTGCTCAAGAAACATTTCTTATTACCAGTATTGAAACAGTTGTGCTGCCTAATATTTTCATGTCTTCAAAATTCTTTGAACAGCATTTGTTTGAAATGGAAATCTTTTGTAACAGTGTTTGTAACAAGACATAAACGTGTTTGTACAAGTCTTTACTGTCACTTTTGATCAATTGAATGCATTCTTGTAAAATAAAATTATTAATTTTTTATTATTTTTTTAAATATCTAATTGACCCCAATTTAGAAATTTCTAGACTTCAGAATACATTTCTCTCTCCCTCTTGTGTGTGTAAAGAACATGAGTCCACGGGCATCACTGGCTCAGCTGGTTTCTCTCTTTTTGAGGTTTCGGAAAGATGACACACAGCCCATTCTGTACCGTTTGCTGACTGGCCGACTCAAGGGCCAAGCTTTCATTACACTCTCTGGTAAGGAAGCAGCTCCGGGCAGATGACGTATGGAGGTCAGCTTTGCACGCAGCAGAGATCAAAACAACGGTCACTAATTAGAAGTACAAAACGAGGATTTGTAAAGAAGAATGTCAGAGGATTTCGTTGTAAGCCAAGAGGAGACTGGTTTTCCTTTGCTAAAGTAAGGAAACTTTGCTTCCTTTGCTCCTGTTAACAAACGTTGGTTTTCACGAGACTCACCGGCGCATGCGCAGTACTGACCCCATACGTCATCCGCCTGGAACTGCTTCCAGTGTACAACAGTGAGCGCAAGCTAGATTAAAGTGATTATTAAGTTTTGAATATGGATATTTTTCTTACAAAAACGCATCGATTCGCTACAGGAGGCTTTTGTTCACCCCCCGGAGCTGGATGAGACAAGATTTTTTCATGGATGGGCGCTTTTTATTTAACTTCTTTTGGACTGATGAAATTTAAAAGCAACTTATTTTTCCCTTAAAATGATACATTTTCTCAGTTTAAACATTTGATATGTCATCTATGTTGTATTCTGAATAAAATATTGAAATTTGAAACTTCCACATCATTGCATTCTGTTTTTATTCACAATTTGTACAGTGTCCCAACTTTTTTGGAATCGGGTTTGTATATACAAGGTTGTGTTCAAAGTCAATGAACTCTACATGTACAGGACTCACCAATTACATTTCAGTGTGATGTTTGCCACTCTGTCTTTCCCACATAGTTACACATTAAAATGAAGTTAAAATCAATGCAGTCCAGTTTCAGCTGGAGTGCTTCAAGTGCCTTCACTGTAAATCATTTGTTTAAATGGCAACGTCACCTCAACATAAGTTACACACAGGCATTGCTTTGAATGTGGTTGCCAGCACAGAATGTCTACGAGGACATTTTGGAGTTCTTCGTGAAACAAAAATTACCCATTTGTGTGTGTTTTGTGTGTCTTTCATTAGAGCAACAAATGCTTGAGTAGGAGTAGCAGGGGCCGCCATTCAATCATGAGCTCAGCCCACCCTAATGATATGCACATTTACGAGACTCATTAAATCATTAAAAATTATTTTCTTTATTCTTAGTAAATAGTAGTTAAATCACTGCCAGCACCCACATTCATAAAAAGAAATCCCCAAATTCCATTAAATAGGTTGGTTCTTTCCTCCTATTTTGTATCATGATGCACATGAGCCGAAAAAAATAATGAACTTTCATGCTATGTGACACGCATTCATTATAAATGCAGTATAGTATAAGATCTTAGTACTAGCTATTACTTTGAAAATAATTTGATGTAACTATTTTCATTCCAAATTGGTAGTAAAATTCACAATTACAAAAAATGTCAGTAACGCTATATTAGACGTGATTTTTTTTTTTTTAATGTAGAAAGACTGAAATACACATCAATATTTTTTCCTTTTTTACAACTCATTTCTTTTTATTTTTACTTTTCTTAGTGTACAATTGACATTTTAAAAATTAATATAACATAATGCTGGACCATTTAAAATGAACACCTGAAAAAAAAAATTTTTTTATGTATATTTGATGTATATTAAGCATTGCTTTGTATATTTTAAATGCCTCGGAAATGTGATCATTTTCCTTTTTTACAACTCATTTCTTTTTATTTTTACTTTTCTTAGTGTACAATTGACATTTTAAAAATGAATATAACATAATGCTGGACCATTTAAAATGAACACCTGAAAAAAAGTTTTTTATGTATATTTGATGTATATTAAGCATTGCTTTGTATATTTTAAATGCCTCGGAAATGTGATCATTCTTGTGTGAGCTAAACTTGTTTCTTTTGTAAAAGCCCTCCCTATTTACACTGAAAAATGTGTGATATAAATATGTGTAAAATATTAGTTGAAAAATATTTTTCTGTTACATATTTTCTCACTATTGTATTGTCCCCCTCTTAGCTTTAGGTATTGTATTATTTATTTACTATTATAAAATGTATTAATTTTATTAATTAATTACCCAGATCATCACATATTTATGATGTGGAGAGAGGACGATAGTGTTTTCAGCTGCTAGCCTTTCTGAGATGATTACATAGAGCTTTATGAAAAGAGTTTGGGGCCAGAGACTAATAAACAACCCAAATCTTTATTTAGAAAGTGAATATGATCATTTAGTGCTCAAACTGAGTACATAGAAATTCAATAACAAAATAAAGATTACTGTAATTAACAAATGAAAACAATGTTAATAAAACCGTAATAAAATACAACAACATTGCAAAATACTATGTGTGAATACAAAAACAGTTCAAATGTTTAAGTGCACTTAAGGTTAACTGACACGGTGCATTATGAGAGGGCAGCTGAAAAGTCAATGTCAAATATTAGCTTTGCATATTTACATATGATTCTGTCGATCCATATTGAAAGCCATTTTGCTGTTTAGTTTGAATTTTTTTAACTTTCCCAAAAAAAATTTTTTTTTAAAGAACAGCAATGTCTGTTGACAAAAGAAACCAAAAGCACCTCATATTCTATTCAATCAAACACATTTGCTCTTTCTCTGGCAGTGTGTCCATTCCTCTTGCACCTTAATCCAACATCTCGCCTATTATAAGAGTCTTTCAACAGTCCAAGTGCTTTTAGAAAAAATGGTACAGAACGACTAACACAAATCCTCAAACGTAGCCTGTGACGTCATACCCGGCTGCTGTGTTCTGCCGAGCCGATTTCCTGGAATCCTGAGCTGGCATAGTGGAGTGGGTACTAGTGCTTGTAAGGCTGTTAAGGGTCTGGTTCTTGTTGGCAAGGTTGGGGTTTGTGGCTGGATGGTAGGGTATCAAATGGGACGGTCCACGCGGTCCGGTGCGGTCAGGGTAGGGGTAATGGCGTCTGGTTCCCCTGCTACTGTCCAAATCGTCACAACAGGATGCACTCAACAGCCCTCCACCGAGCATGGACAAGAGCGAAGAAGCCAAGCCCACATATAGGCAGTCACCTATCTCAAACTTTAGACTGGCTGGCATGTTCTGCATATAGAAGGTCTGCACCACCTCATGGGTCTTCCAAGACACAGGGATAAACGACAAGAGCCCTGCCAGGAGGAAAAGGGAACCACCTACCCCAGCCACCTTGCTCTTGACTGAAGAGCCATCTATGCAGATGGTGCACTGCATGCCGATAGTGGATACCGCGCAGGCCATGACGGAAAAGATGGAGGAGATGACCATCATGGCTCTGGCTGCTTGTAGATCAGTGGTGAGCCCCAGAAGCGTGTTGTAGGTCTCACACTGGAAGGTTCCGGTGCTCTGGTGGACACACTCCATCCATAGACCTTTCATGCTGACTACTGCCGTCACGATGTTGGGACCAACGTGTGCGGACGTTGCCCAATATGGCAGAAGAGTGGCTACAAAGGTCCCAAGCATGCCAAAGAGGCCACAAAAGTAACCCATCAACTCCAGCGCTGCTATCGCCATGTCGCCCACTGGATGAACGTGTTCTCCAAAATTAAAATAAAACTTCCGGTTGATTACTGTAAAGGAAAATAATAAACGCTTTAGCCAAATAAATCTATTCGTCTCAGCTGAAGCAGTCCGTTTGTGAAAAAAAGTGTGCTTAATTATAATGAATGTGCACTTGTCGTGTTAAAAGTATATATTTTTTTAAAAACTGTGCTTACAGATTACATATTAATGAATAAAATGCCACTTAGGTGTACTTAAAGAGAGAACACTTTCATGACATTTGTACACTTGAGTACACTTTTAGAAAGTGCACTTTGTAATCATGTCAAATTTTTAAGTTTTACATTAAGTACATTAAATGCACTGAATCGCAACATCATTACAAACGTGTAATTACAAATATATTTGAATACATAAAACAGAAATTACATTAAAGTACATTTTAGTTTACTATAAACTCTTGTCAGTACATTCGACAGTACACGTTAACCATATGTGACCCTGGAGCACAAAACCAGTCTTAAGTCGCTGGGGTATATTTGTAGCAATAGCTAAAAATACATTGTATGGGTCAAAATGATAGATTTTTCTTTTATGCCCAAAATCATTAGGATATTAAGTAAAGATCATGTTCCATGAAGATATTTAGTACATTTCCTACTGTAAATATATTAAAATTAAATTTTTGATTAGTAATATGCATGGCTAAGAACTAAATTTGGACAACTTTAAAGGCGATTTTCTCAATATTTAAATTTTTTGTGCACCCTCAGATTCCAGATTTTCAAATAGTTGTATCTCGGCCAAATATTGTCCTATCCATACAATACCATACATCAATGGAAAGCTTATTTATTCAGCTTTCAGATGATGCATAAATCTCAATTTCGAAAAATTGACCCTTATAACTGGTTTTGTGGTCCAGGGTCACAATATTTCAAAGAAAATAAATTATAAAATGATGTATAAAGGTGTACTTTAGTCCTACTTGAGTCAAAAAAGTACGAATTTAAATAAATGTATCAAACTACATTAGCTAATTTATATTCAATTCAAATTTAAGCATATTATTTTCAAAAAAGTACTCCTTTTTAAAAAGTAAGCTAAATTATAATTATTTTTCACAAGAGTGTACTTACACTACATATGTTAATGGGTGAGATGTTTCCAGTAACGTTAGTTCTTGTGTTCCTACCATTTCTGTTGCTCTGTAGATATTAGGAGCTGCCCCTGTCCATGTACACATAGGCACCTCTAGAAAAGAGAAGTTAAAGATTTACTCGTTACTCACCCCAAAACTGACCTTTTCTGTGTTCATCCCAAAAACAAGGCCACTGTGGGAAAGGACAGCGAGTAAGTTTTTAAGGTTTTGTGAGTTATAACATTTAAATGTTATACTACAATGACACATTTTCATTATATATATTATATTGGATGTAATGTATTAAACATTTACATACACGGGTTAAAGCAAAAAACAATCTTGAGCCTGAACTTTTTTCCGGGGGCAGGGCAAGGGAGGGGAGGGGGGGGGGGGGGCTTTCATGACATTTGTACACTTGAGTACACTTTTAGAAAGTGCACTTTGTAATCATGTCAAATTTTTAAGTTTTACATTAAGTACATTAAATGCACTGAATCGCAACATCATTACAAACGTGTAATTACAAATATATTTGAATACATAAAACAGAAATTACATTAAAGTACATTTTAGTTTACTATAAACTCTTGTCAGTACATTCGACAGTACACGTTAACCATATGTGACCCTGGAGCACAAAACCAGTCTTAAGTCGCTGGGGTATATTTGTAGCAATAGCTAAAAATACATTGTATGGGTCAAAATAATAGATTTTTCTTTTATGCCCAAAATCATTAGGATATTAAGTAAAGATCATGTTCCATGAAGATATTTAGTACATTTCCTACTGTAAATATATTAAAATTAAATTTTTGATTAGTAATATGCATGGCTAAGAACTAAATTTGGACAACTTTAAAGGCGATTTTCTCAATATTTAAATTTTTTGTGCACCCTCAGATTCCAGATTTTCAAATAGTTGTATCTCGGCCAAATATTGTCCTATCCATACAATACCATACATCAATGGAAAGCTTATTTATTCAGCTTTCAGATGATGCATAAATCTCAATTTCGAAAAATTGACCCTTATAACTGGTTTTGTGGTCCAGGGTCACAATATTTCAAAGAAAATAAATTATAAAATGATGTATAAAGGTGTACTTTAGTCCTACTTGAGTCAAAAAAGTACGAATTTAAATAAATGTATCAAACTACATTAGCTAATTTATATTCAATTCAAATTTAAGCATATTATTTTCAAAAAAGTACTCCTTTTTAAAAAGTAAGCTAAATTATAATTATTTTTCACAAGAGTGTACTTACACTACATATGTTAATGGGTGAGATGTTTCCAGTAACGTTAGTTCTTGTGTTCCTACCATTTCTGTTGCTCTGTAGATATTAGGAGCTGCCCCTGTCCATGTACACATAGGCACCTCTAGAAAAGAGAAGTTAAAGATTTACTCGTTACTCACCCCAAAACTGACCTTTTCTGTGTTCATCCCAAAAACAAGGCCACTGTGGGAAAGGACAGCGAGTAAGTTTTTAAGGTTTTGTGAGTTATAACATTTAAATGTTATACTACAATGACACATTTTCATTATATATATTATATTGGATGTAATGTATTAAACATTTACATACACGGGTTAAAGCAAAAAACAATCTTGAGCCTGAACTTTTTTCCGGGGGCAGGGCAAGGGAGGGGAGGGGGGGGGGGCAGCATGCAATGACTGTGGCAACTTTAACATTTGAAAGGATACTATGGCAAAGTTATTGCTTTCCTTATTCAATCTGATTTTTTTTCATGAATATATAGTTGACCTGAAGAATGAAAGTTATTTCATTCTTCTCTCTGAAAATTAAGAGCTATATCACCGCTTATCGACACTAGGGGTGTGACAATACACTTAGCTCACGTGATGAGACAAAATACAGATGCTTGGTTCACTAGAAAGAGACAATATTTTAATACTATTTTTAAGAAATTTTCAATGACAAAATATTTGTCTTTTAATTACAAAAAGTAAAACAATGCAATTGTATTTTGAAATATTTTAACTAATCTAGGGCTGTAACTAATGATTATTTTGGTAATCAAGTAATCTACTGATTATTTTGACAACTGAGCAATCTGATATTTTTAGTAACAAACAGGCCTAAGTGAAAACCAGGCTTTAGTATGACTATTTATGTATAAACTAATAATGAGGCAATAATAATTGGCTCAAATAAAATATCAAAACCAAGTAATTACATGGTTTTATTGAACAACACTGTTAAAATACATAATGTAATATGCCTATACATAATATGAACATAACCAACTTAAGTACATAATGTATTATAACAAATACCTGCAGAGGGCGACAAGCGTGATTAAACGATGTTTAAATCCATTTAAATTTAAAGGGGTCATATGATGCGATTTCAAGTTTTCCTTTCTCTTTGGAGTGTTACAAGCTGATTGTGCATAGATAAGATCCCTGAAGTTGCAAAGACTAAAGTCTCAAAACCAAAGAGATATTCTTTATCAAAGTTAAGACTCTGCCACGCCCCCCTAAAACGGCTCGTGCATGCAAACTCAGAAACCTTTATTTTGAAATCGCGATACAATAAATGGCATATTTAGAAATAAGTTGATGTATTCTCCTGTGTTGGCAAAGGTTTAAATGATTTATGTTACAAATCTAGTGAGATAATGCACAATTTTCCCAGATGAACGTTAAGCAATTCAAATTCACAGTACATGCAGAGGAAGAGTTTAGCCCCTTTCACACAAATACAGTCTTAACTGGTAAATTACATATATACGTGTGTGGCTGTACATACACATATGTAGTTGTTTTTTGGTGTTTAGCTTAGTGTTATGTTAGAATCATTATTATACTCATACCTTTTGTTCTTTTAATATTTTGAATTGTTTTTAGCTTTATTTTGTTTTCATTTAAATGTTTAGTTTTGAAATGTTGTTGTACGCATTTGTCATTTTTATTTAATTTCTTTTATTTTCTTAAATGTGTATATATATATATATATATAGTATTTATAGAGTTTTAGCTTTTAGTTTTAATTACTTTTTCTTATTTGTAAGTCGCTTTCTATAAAAGCGTCTGCTAAATGACTAAAAAGTAAAGTAAATTACCTGTAAGTTACCATTAAGAGATCATGTGTGAACAGGACCTTTTCAAAAATCCCGGTAAATTTGTTCTGGCAATCATATCGATCTTATGGAGATGACATGATTACTCTGAGCTGTTAACAAAGCTCCGCTGCTTTTTCATTCGTTTTTCTATATAACTATACGCGCTAGATGGACATCTTTGTCCATTGCGCCTCGCAGCTTTTCCATTCATCATGCCTGGGCCTCTGCAATTGGATACTACAGTATTATGCGCGTCTCGTGTTTATAAGAGCAAAAAAAATCTGATTGGCTAGTAATGTTAGTTTGGTTGAGAGTGAAAGCTGTGCTCCTCTCATACGAGGTAAGCGAACTCATACGGACTCGAAAGTGATATCAACACGTTTTTTTGTTTAAATTACGTATTTTTTTTCCCGCACCCAAACGCTTCTACTACACTGCATTCAACTACAATGTGATTTTGACCATGAAACTAAAAATTAGGGATGGGCGATACCACTTATTCTGTTTTCGATACGATACCGATTTCAATTCGTCCAATTCAATGCATTTGTACGCATTATTATTATTATTTTAAATAAACAAAATCACTGGTAAATAAAATACACCTAAGTATCGATATTTTTAGTTTGAGTATCGATACTTTCGATACTCGCGTTCGATACTCGCGATATATCGATACTTTGGATCGATACGCCCATTCGGTTTCCCATTTCAGAAATCTATCACGTTACTGCGAGTGTGATATTGCTTTTATACAACAATGTAATAAACAAGTAACAGTTAGTCGATATTGAGTAACTTACATTTTTAATCCCATTATTGCCAGATCCGTTGTCTATTTTTCTCCACCAACGAAAATATTTCAAGGCCTAAGCCACAGCAGAAGCAACCGTCTCGGGTCTCGTACAACACGCTAGCAGTGTCGCTGAGTCAGTAAACGAATCGTTTGATTCGGAATGATTCAATGACTCGATCATAATACACAAAACCACACAAAATCATTCTGTCGACCAGAGCCGCTAAAAAGACGTGTTTTCAACGTGTTTTCAACGGCTCTGCTGACGACCATTCAAATTCAATGACCGGAACTAGCCTAATTGTTGCGTAAAATAAATACTAGCATTTAAGTGAACGAAAAAAAGGCTTACAGCACAAACATACTTTTAAGGCAAAACAGTTCACAGAAAACGTGTTCTTTTAAAACAAATGAAAAAACAAGAGTGTATTTTTTTTTATAAATACATACCAATAATTTTATTAAAAGTGTAAGCCAAACTATTACAATTCTGTCATAGACCAACTATTTGCCACATGGCAGGACATTGCTGTAAAGAAGAGTTTGATTTAGTCTGATTTGCTCTGAAAACATTTGTAACCTATTTAATACACAACAAACAATTACACATTAATATGTAGAAATTGCAGTGTAACAAACATACTTACCTGGTTAGCTGGTTAGATATTTCAAGTCAACAAAAAGTGTGTCCTTTTGCAGAAATATCTCATCACAGAATAGTGTGTGTGTGTGCGCGCGTTTTTGTGACAAATGAGGACATAAATTTGTATAATGACAAAGGTATGACATAGGTATTACAAGGAGAAGGTGACTTTTCGAGACATTACCCCATGTCCCCACTTTTCAAAACGCATATAAATCACACAGAATGGAGTGTATTGAAAATCTGAAATAGCACAAAGTCTCCTGTAAGGGGTAGGTTTAGGGGTAGGGTTGGTGTAGAGCAATAGAATATACGGTCTGTACAGTATAAAAACCATTACGCCTATGGAATGTCCCCACTTTTCACAAAAACAAACCTGTGTGTGTGTGTGTGTGTGTGTATGTACAGATACAGTTTGAGCCGGTTTCAGCCGAACCCTTGACTCAATCTCAGTTAAATCACCTCACTGTAATGAGATTATATCAATAATCCAGCCACTTACTGGAAGGGTCAACCATGAACCAGCAACAACAATAGATTCATGTGACAAGGATATGTTTGTCCACTTATGCCACCAAAATTACTCTGCACATTATAACTTTGTAGCTTTAATTTATAAAGTTTTCAGGTTGTAGGTTCCAAATTGCACTAAAAGTAAAATAAACTATTGATATACTGATTTCATAGTTATTCTACAATATATCTGTAAAATCATCTCTAAATCAAATAAAATAACTTATTAACAATATTATTCAACTTTGCTAAATGTTATTAAAATGATTAATGATTGATGAAATAAGACTGATATTTTACACAGGCATCTACACTGGGTCACAGTGAGGTCTCTCAGGTCAGGGGTGAGATGTGTAGGTGCTGTAGTGGGAACGTTGATACTGTGTTTGGACCCGGTGGATGAGGTGCCAGTCCAGAGGGACAGCAGAGAGCGTGAGAAGAGTGTGTTTACAGAAGTGCCATCCACGCACACCTCCGCAAATGAGCTCAGAGGTGTGGAGATACACACAATGCAGGATAGTCTGAGTCTGAACGTTTATTCCCAAATCAACACCTATGAATTTTGACTCGTACGACCTGAAGCTAGAGATAAACGCACTGAAATAATGAGTTACAGTATGCTATTTTATAAAATGCATTGGTAGGAGGAAACTAGATATAAATATCGAATAAGATGACTTTTTCTAAAATTGCACAGGAAATGAGAGAGTGTAGCAGAAATGAAAAGTCAGTCTTATTTATAAGATATCAAACATTAAAACATATCATACAGCATATTAGCCAGTTTTCAGAGATGTCCCATCACCTTGTTGTTCTCATCATATCACTGTTGAACTCATTTGTGGAGGTGTGTGTGGATGACACCAGTCCTCACACCTTCATAGACACACTTCTCTCACCCTCACTTCTCTTCTGTTCTTTCCATGCTGACACTATAACTGACATGTACCAGGTTCCCACAACAGCATCTGCACGCTTCATCTCTGAACTAGAAACACATTGACCCCACCATGACCTCATTTACATTTATCATATTTTGTATATTTATTTATATCTGATCACCACAAAACGATCAGTATTACTCATACTGAACAAACCACTAACTGAGAAATTCATGAACTCTACACTGTTTGTGCTATGAACGCTGGATGACGCTTCAAATGACAAAGATCAGAAAATTCAACCAAATTTAAATGAGTCAAAAACAAATATGAATTGTGAATTCATGGTTATGCTGTTACTTTAGTGGTTTAGTTTTGCCTGCCTTATCACATTTAATCTTCCTTTGATGTTAACAAAATATGCATAGGAAAGTTTTTCTCTGCCCTTTAGGTATAGATAGATAGACAGATAGACAGATAGATAGATAGATAGATAGATAGATAGAT